TCACTGTTAAATCTCCGGAAACTACTGGTACAATGAAACAGAACCATCTGGCAAACTTACAAGTATTTGGTAGATTGTATCTATTGGCCCTGTGTTCTCTGGCTTCCCCAGAGAATTCTCTGAATCCTGGTAACTGTACTGAGCCTCTGTCACCTAGGTGACTAATGCCACTTAAAATTGAGGCTTACAAAAATACCAAATTTCCCCTACAAATTATTCCTCCTAGGGTATTTGCTACTATGATCTGCTTCTAGTCTTAGAACAGAAATCTTTGTTCCTCCCCCCCACATCAACTTTTTCTCCAAACCATCTGACACTTTCCATCTGGAATTAGTATCAAATCACACAAGTGAAGGTTTTAGTCTCATAAAACTGCTCTCAATTCAGATGCCAACTAAAATCCTAGGGTCCCTGTACTTCTGACTAATTGGCTACAAATCAAAGGTTTTCATGTACACCTTCTTGAGTTTGATCATTTGCTAGAATACCTCAAAAATTCATAAAATTGCTTACTGTTAGTGACTTATTATAAGGAATACAACACAGAATTAGCCAAGTGGGAGAGTTGCAAAATGTGAGGTTCATGGAAAGGGTGTGGAAACTCTATACTTCCTTGGGGACCCCAAGCCTTCCATCACCCCAGCATGTTGACCAATCCAGAGACTTCCCAAGCTCCGTTACTTAGAGTTCTTATGGAAATTCCATTAGCTTGCTATTCTTTTTTATTTAAGATTTATTTATTTATGTAGACTGAACTGGGGTACAGGCCAGAGGTGCAGGGGTTGTGAGAGGATTCACTGAGACAGAGTGGGGAGCAGAACAGGTCGACTCATTAAGTACACTGCTGAGGGGAGCAGTGGGCAAGACAGAAGAAGTCTGCTGAGCCATGGGGTCACCTCCCCTGTAGTGATCCAACTCATGCTGAAGTAGCTGCAGCCAGCTTTGAAGTGCTGTGCTTTAACCTGTTGTGCCACCAGGGAGGGCCCGAACCACACTATTCTTTAATGATTAACTCATCTCCAGCTCTCTCCCAGGCTCAGAGAGTGAGAGGTGGGTTGAAAATTCTAACCTCTATCACACTTGACCTGTTTGGTGACTATTTCCCATCTTGAAGCCAACTAGAGACTTTGAACCACTAATTGTGTCATTATGATACATAGAAATGCTCATCACTTCAGAAATTGTTAGTGTTTAAGAAGTTCTTATAAGCCAAGATCAAGCACTATAGCCGAAGTTTCTCCTATGAGTCTTATTTCTCAGGAAACAACAAGAATTTGGAGAATTTTGGTATAGAAACCTGTAATGGAGCCCAAATATAAACTTATTACCATATCATATCAAAACTATTTAGGTACTCTCTGAAAGGAACTATTCACATCCCTTTACTTATGCCACTCACATTCTTTGGTGAGAGTTCTCCTTACAATGAAACTACTCAGCGGAACCCCACATCCTTCAGCTCCCCTAGTAAGTAACCATTTTTGTGAGCTTACCATTCCCACTCTTGAGAGCCTCAATCCCATTATCCATGGGGCATAAATCAGAGGCTTCCTTTTAAAACATAAATATTGTAATTTACTTTAAAAACTGATGACTTTCGATGTACTTAAAATAACATCCCATATTGTAGTACTCTCCTCGTGTTCATTTCAAGCTCTCAAGTTGACATCATTGAATACAGTTTTGGAGAGAAATCTATGCTGTTGATTCTTGCAGTCTAGCCAGGTAAACCTCTGGATGTGAGTTAAATTTCACTCTTTGCTTAACTGTAAATATTTGACATTATTCTTTTTTTTATTGTTTCTCTTAAGTGACTGGAATCACCAACATGAAGCCATTTCATTAATCTAATTCCTTCAAGACATAAAATAGTACCATCCACGTAATAGGAACTCAAGAATCATTATATGTAAGCTGACTGTCAATAAAAACACTTCATGTTGCAGTGTGTAGGATTGTTCTAAGTTTCTGAAATAGATGTTATGATTTGCTCAGTCAGTCACAGCACTTATCCCGGTCCCTGTCAGTAGAGTCCACATCAGTCCTTTGATTAAGATCTTGGTTTTCTTGCTTTGGACACTGTAATGTGTGGGCAGAAATAGACCTTCCCTGGCAAGACGTTTTAAATGCATTTGTATGGCTTATCATTTTCCTTGCTGAGATGCTGCCTTCCTCCATGAGAACATTGCTCTTTCATACTGGCACAGGAATAAAAAGTTACATGATGTGAATCAAGTTGAATTGAGTCACAGACTCCTGAAGCCCTACCAGCCCACAGCATTCACACAGTGAAAGCAAGCAATGTGTGTTGTTGTCATGAGATTTGAGTGTGCGTTATCAATACAGGAAAGGTTGACTAATGCATTGTCAAATCCCCAGTGTCACTCAGGCTTCTCAACAACTCAGTGGTGTAAGTTCAGTTATCATCTCCCACATTTTATAGAAGAAACAGTTAGCAAGCAGAAAAGTTAAATGCGTCAGAAGTTTGCTGGTCTAAGTAGTCTTATACCTGGGAATTGAACACAAGCTGATTGACTCTAGAATTCACTCACTGGATACATGTCACTAATTGAACATGGATAAGAAGAGGCAGTAAGTATTCAGTCATACCTCATTGCAAAGAAACTCAGAAGACAGAGTTTGATTTTCATTTTTTACTTAACAAAGGTGTTAACAAATTCTAACCCCCAAAAGATTCAAGTCATTTTGTTTTCTTTGCTGTCTCACCCACTCTCACCTTTGAAAACAATGTACAGGGACTTTATTTTTAAAATATGGCCAAGGGACTGAGTTATGTTACTGGAATTTTTCCTATAGAGGTAAAAAGAAAAAAAGATACTGCAAGCCAGTTATTTTTAGTAAGACATTTACTTAGACTTGAATTATCTGTTGACACTAAGCAGTTTCACATCCAGAATGTAATAAAATGTACAGATCTAACAGAGTAGTTATTGCTATATTTATTTACTTTAAAAAAAAAAACCATTGACCTTTCTGTCAGTAGGCATAGTGCATTTTATACTGACATTTAATTAATACTTGCAGTATCAAATATCCTGAGTTTCAAGGGATAACTGTTAAAAGAAATATTTTCTTCTTTTTTTTTTCTTTGAGAACTGTCTGTAATCATACAACATAAACAAGAGAGTGTTGACCTTTCTTTAGTGCTGAATATGCTCAAAATATTTTATTTCCTGCTCTAACACTGATGAATTGCCTAAAGTGCTCTCTTTAAAATAACTTTCCTTTCCCGTAGGGAAACAATTGCATGATCTATTAGCAAACAGCTTATCTTAAGCTATGGGAAATATAAAAGCAACTTGTGCATTATTTTTGCCACCTATAACCAACTACGTGCTTGAGCATCTGCTTAGACACTTAACATGTTAGTCTTTGGGTGACATCATAAGGTGGGTGTTTCCCTCATCATCCCTTACTTCCAGAAATTGTCCTCACTCAAGTCATGCAACTAGTAGTTACAAAAATGGATTTTATCCTTTCCACACCAAAGGGAGGCTAGGGCTTGATTCAGCGGCAAGGGAGAATTCAGTTAATCAGTGATGTAAGGAATTTCATACATTTTTTTCCCTCATATAACAATAAGAGCAATAACAATACTATTAGTGACACAGCCTCTTCAGAAAAGAAGGCTTGGGTCACTACCAGGGAAAGAGCCATGCCCAGGTGCGGTACTTAGTGAAGAGGAGGCAGTGATAATTTGAGCAGACCATCAAGGGGAACAAAATGGCTGCCACAAAATATTGAGTGGAGTGCATGGCTGGAACCTAGACAAAGCTCAAGAGTAGCTCGCTCCTCCATTCCCAGTAGTAAACTATAACAGAAAGTTCACTGAGCTGGCACCACACAGAAAACATTTTGCTGAACATCTTTAGCTGCCAGCCTTTGGTGACACCAGCACCTCCATGACAGAGCAGTGGGGTCCAGGGTGCCCCCTGGCTTTCCCCTTACCCTGGGCCTTGTGCTTCCCAGCATGAGAGTCGAGCGCTCTCCTAGCCCTTCACTCTTCCCTAACAATCATTCTACTCCTAGGAATCTACCCAAAGGACTCAAAAACATTATTTTGAAAGGAAACCCACCCACCTATGTTTATTACAGCACTATTCACAATAGCTAAGATATGGAAACAACCCAAAGGTCCCAAAACAGATGTATGGATCAAGAAGATGAAGTACATGCACACAATGGAATACTACTCAGTGAGCAAAAAAGAAAAGCTCATGCCATTCATAGCAACATGGATGGAGTGTGAAGGGGTGATGGTCAGTTAAACAGGTCCAAAAGCAAATATGACAGATGGCTTCACTCATAGAAAATATAGAGAAACGGAAGAAATAAAAAAAGTAGGCAAAACTTGCAGGCAATTTACAGACCTGAGGCATCCAATAAGGAAGGAGGAAAGAGATGGCCAAAAGAGGGGAGGAGCGAATCACTGTGGTGATTCATGGGTGATGTGGTGATGGGAGACTTCTGGGCACCACACCTGAGGGGAGAAATCAAATAGTGTACAATAATGAACACCAATGTAAAAAAAAAGGCTAACTTTTTTTTTTTGAAGGTTCTATTTTTCTCTTCATTTCTCTATCCAGTTATCAGTTTTTCTGAATAGCAGCTTTCTGAATACTGACCATGCCATCTTCATTTTAATAATTCCCTTAACTGACTACACCTTCTTGAAGAAAATACCTGCAGCTTGATTTTTGTCAATGATTTTATTAGAATACAACTGCACCCTTTCGCTGCTGATTTAGGGCTGGCTTCACTCTGGAAACAAAGAGTTGAGTCTTTATGGCAGAGACCCGATGAACTACAAACCCTAAGATATGGGTTCTCTGTCTCTTTAAAGAATGTTTGCCAACTTCTATTTTATTTTTATTTTCTTGTAATTCCTAGCATGTTCCAGTGATCATGCAGTAATGTGTTAATGACATAAACATTTATTAAAAGCAGACAAAACATTTATTAAAAGCAGACAAGGGAAAGAGCGGGACGTCCGGCTTGGGAACGGTAACCTTCGTGTCGCCCGCGACCAAAGCGATTTAAAAATGAGTGACATTGAGAAGGGCAAGAAGATTTTTGTTCAGAAGTGTGCTCAGTGCCATACTGTGGAAAAGGGAGGCAAGCACAAAACTGGGCCAAATCTTCATGGTCTCTTTGGGCGAAAGACAGGTCAGGCCCCTGGATTTTCTTACACAGATGCTAACAAGAACAAAGGCATCACCTGGAAAGAGGACACACTGATGGAGTATTTGGAGAATCCCAAGAAGTACATCCCTGGAACAAAAATGATCTTCGCTGGCATTAAGAAGAAGTCAGAAAGGGCAGAATTGATAGCTTACCTTAAGAAAGCTACTAATGAGTAATAGTTGGCACTGCCTTATTTATTACAAAGCAGAAAATGTCTCATGACTTTTTGTGTGTACCATATTTAAATTGATCTCATACACCAGAATTCAGATCATGAAAAAAAAAAAAAAAAAAAAAAAAAAGCAGACAAGGTACTAGGGCCTAAGCAATATTCCCAAGATACAAAGACCAAAGGTGCATTCTTTTCATGTTTAGTGTATAATGGACTTAAAGTAATAATTTCTACTGACTAAATTTTAAAAGGGTCGCATTTATTATCCAGGGTTGGAAGAATTATTAATCTGTTATCTGAGGCTTTGAAGTCCTTACTATGACTTTATTTCTAATAGTCTCACAAAGAGGGGTGATTTAAAAGATAAAGATTGTTCATCTGTTTGTTCAAAGTCAAATCCATGACTTTTCCACGTGCTTTTTTTTTAATTTCCAAAAGATTTTCTTAACTGTTTTCATTAAAATTAAAATAAGTATTTCAAAGGCTCCCCCCCCCTTTTTTTTTGGTTAAACAGAAAAAGATAGAATTTAACAATTCTATCTCATTTGTTAAAATAGAACTCATTTTTTCCTTCCAATATTGTGCAGATTTGAGTTTCTCATCTTACTAATAAACATTCAAATAACAATTAGTGGTGATGAGGCAGAACATTTCCAGGCTAAAATTGCTTCTCATTTGCATGGTACATTTCTTCATTTCACAAACTGTTTTAAATTGAGGAATATTATTATCCAGATGATCTATTTTGATTTTTTGAATCATTTATTTTCTGCACACTCTAAGTAAGATCTGGAATGTAAGCCTGTCAATAGCCACTTCACAAAATAATAATCACTTCCCAATGCACAATGGGACCGACCTGACATATGAGCCAAACCCAGACACCTGGATGTCTTGTTTCCTCTGGAGGCATTCCCAGTCATTGTCAACAAAAGGTGTCACCTAATAAAAACACATACTGGAAGATTCGTGAATCATTGGAGCATGGAAAAGGTTTTTTTGTAGCAGCAGAAATGCAATTAACTGTAGCTTCAGTACTATCCTGGAAGAAAAAGAAAAAAAAAAAAAAAACTGTGGCAACGTTTCTCAGTTAGTGTTAAGTATATATGACTTTCTCTATTTTTCCATCTTATACTTCAAATACTAAAAATCAAAAAATCTTGCTCTTGATACACTCTTGGCATCTGAATCGTGCTTATTTGTCAAGGTGACATTTCAACTCTTAGCTGATTTGTGGTTTATATCCCCATTTAATTTAAAATTATTAATATGTATATTATATATTTTTATATTTTTCTAACAGCAGCATATGAAATATTCAGGAATTTGTCAGAAATGTAGGCTCTCAGATTCCACCTGATGAGAACATTATATAGTTCAAAGAGTTACACTATTTAGTAAGTTATGAATGAAATAACTATGACAAATATGACATGTCAAAGCAAAAGCCCACCTGGGGGTAATAAATCACATGACATCACATGGAAGTATGGACAAAGGGACCAGGGCAGCAGCCCAGGGGCACGCCCTAGGTGGCCCTTCTAGAACCTTCTCTGAACCACTAGACCACTGACCCTAGGCAGAGAGACTTTAAAAAATGCATGGAAACAGCAGCTGAACACCAAACAGTCTGCAGGTGCAACTCTCCACGAAGCCACTGTTTGACACTTACATGCTGCCATTCCACGCAGGGCCCAAGTACCGCCTCTCTGCCCCCCTCACCCTGGGCATAGTCCTGGCGGGAACAGCTCCCACTGTGTGCTTCCCTGAACTTACAAGATTTCCACCCCAAACACCTCTGCCTTATCTACCTGGATTCAGGTCATTAACATGGACTATGTTGATGATGTGTGAGAGAGTGAGGCTTAGGGAGGCATGGGGGTGGTTAGTGTGTGGATGTGTGTGTGTGGATGTGTGTGTTTGCATCTCATTTGCCTCGATGATCAAGGTGGCTGGGTTTTGCTTGCCACAGGACATCGTCCACCTATGAGTTTGATCTACTGGAAATGACCTGATACTGTGGACAGACGCGTCTTGCACGGAATAGCAAGATACCTCCTCTCTGTACCACCACAGACCCATCTTAGCCCCGGGGAAGCATCGGTCCCTCAGGAGGTTCATCTGCTCCCTGAAATTTACATAACCGTATAATTTAGGGAGCACAACATCACCCAACCATCTGTGCATGTTTCTCTGGCCTGCCACCAAGTAGCCAGTGCCGAGACCAGATCCCCTTCTTTCTGCTCCTCCACCTCCCCTCTCCCCTTCCCACTGTAGGTCTTAGAAATCTCTCTGCTCTTTTCATTCATTTTGTTACTTTGGTTATTGTACTGTACAAGTGAGTGAACTCATCCTATCACTGTCGTTCACTTTCTGACTTATTTCTTTTATTTTTTTAATTTAATTTTATTTTTATTTATTTATTTTCACATACAGAACTGGGGTATAGGCCAGACGTGCAGGGGCGGTGAGCGGATTCCCCGGAGACAGAGTGGGGAGCAGAACAGGCAGATCGTCAAAGTACACTGCTGAGGGGAGCAGCGGGTGGTCAGGAGAGGTCTGCCGCGCCATGTGGTCACCTCCGGGGCAGGCGGGGATTGAACTCATGCGGAAGTGGTTTCAGCTTCTTAGTGCTGCGCTTTAACTCGCTGCACCACCAGGGAGGGCTGACTTTCTGACTTATTTCACTCAGTGTAATCGCCTCAAGATGGACCCATTCATTTTGCCCTAAAAGACACTATTTTCATCTCTTTTTTTTTAATAGCTGAGTTCCATTCCATGAGGTATATATTCCACTTTTTGTCTAATTGTTAATATTTTGAAGCTGGTGGAGTATAATTTTGAACAATGTCAAACCTTGTCGGGGTGAGCTGTACTTGTGGAAGAGATTCTATGACTTTGGTATTTGTGACAAGAGGATCAGGCAGCGGTGGGGATGGAGGGAAGCTGAGGAGAATTGAACAAGGGTTCTGTTGCCCAAGAGCCTCTTCACTTCCTCTGGCAGTGATCTCCTAGTTGAAGAACATATCTTCTATGAAGACAAGGCAAGAGATGAGTGTTTTTTTGTAAGCTCTCTCACTTGCATTTTTGGAATGCAGTCATTGGTCCATGTCCTAAGGCATCTTCATTCTCTTACCACTGTTTATAGAGAGATGTTAATACCCACCAACCCACACACACTTAGTAGATATATGGCCTGAGAGCAGGACTTAAGTTTATTTATTCTTAATTTCCGTAACACCAAGGAAAATATCTTCCATGTTCAAGTCTTATTTAATACATGATGAAAGGCAGAGAAGAGATATTTAGAAAGGTGAGGAGACTGTAAAGCAAGAAGAAAGGAAGGCAGAAAGGAAAGATCTTACATGTAAGATTAATTAGAATGCTTGATCTAAAGAATTTTACAAACATGTCAGTATAACTAATAAAGTGATGGTGCAGATTAATATTATCATTTAGTGGGAAGCCTTTTAAAGACAAGATTCCAGGGCATCAGCATCATGAACAGGTCTTTGAATAGATTCAGTAGACATCGCTGGGACCCAAGAATTGGCATTTTAGCAACAATCCACAGTAGTTCTGAGCTCCACACTTCAGTGACTCACATAAAACAACCATAGGCTTCTGTTTGGGTAACCCAGGAAGCTGTTAACAATCCTTGCAGGCACGTCACCACTGTCTCGTCGTCACCACTGTCTCGTCGTCACCACTGTCTCGTGTTAATGGTGCTGTCTGTCAGAACCTGAGGTGCATTATCACATGAGTTGCTTCAAAGACAGGTATTCTCCCTTCCCTTCATAGCTGTATAGTTCAAACAGAATTACAGTGAAAAATTTCATACCCATTCTTGTTCAATTTTATGGGGTAAATGCTGACTTCTGGTCCAGTTGCTGAGAACTCTTTGGACATGTCTTCTGTCACACGATGACTTACACTTGCATCTCAAGCTGGGCTCATCCACAGATTTGATAAAGACAGGTGCATACCTTCCATCTGCCATGATTATTCCACCACCAACAAATCCACACACCTCAGCTTCTTTACAGCCTTTATTTCTCCAGTGAGTTGGTTAAGGAAAATGGCATGTTTTATTAAATACCTTGCTAAGCAAGTTATGATGTTTCAATTTTTTCCCTTTATTGCACTAATACTGGGAGTCACAATAAAGTAAGTTTGCGGTTTAATTCAATGGTTACTTTTGAGCTTCTGCCTATATGTGGACACACTTTTTTATATTTATTGAACATAATATACTAGCCTTGAGGTGTTCCTGTTTTCTTATGTTGTCATCCACCATCCATTTATTAATAGCATGAATTGAATCAAATGACACATAGAAAGTGCAATTATTATGATTCCTCCACAAAGAAGATTTTCAAATAGTATGCATGGAATTCCAAGTACTTAGAGAGATGTGGAAAGAATCACTTTAAAAGAAAAAGTCTCAGGCCTCCCTGGTGGCACAGGGATTAAAGTGTCGGTACTATCAATCTATCACCACCCACTGCAGCATGAGTTCTATCCCCAGCCAGGAAGGTGACCCACATCCCAGCTCAGCAGACCTCTCCTATATCACCTGCTGACTCCCCTCAGCAGTGCCACCAGGGAGGGCCCCTAAATGTCTTTTTATCCAAGTTAACAGAGGGCTCAATTTGGATGTATCAGTAATGAGTGTCTGTTGACATCACCTCTATTGCCTTCAATTATTATTTAATTTCCTTGGAGCTATTTAATTTTTTTGTGAACTTAGCCAATATCAACTCCTTCCATTAGACTGTCAATTTCTTGCAGGTAGTGGTCTCACTTCATTCCTATACTTCTTAAAATTCCATTACAGTATTTTGCCAGTAGTGGGAAGCTGCAGCAATCATTTGAAGAGTCAAGGTTTTTGGTAAACATCGGAGAGATTAAAAGGTCATAGATTCAATAAAAAGTGAGGAAATCGGAAAAGAAAATTATGGTGGAGATCAAGTAAATTATGGGGCTCAAAACTGCCTGAGGGGATCTCAGATCTACTGTTCCTCTGAAGAAGCTGGGGCATGTTAGGTCACCAAAACTGCTGCTTTATAGTCTTCCCAGAAACAACATGCAGTACATGAA